AGAATCNTAAAAGACACCATTAACAGATCAGTTCGTAATCACATAATAACATAATCAGTTCGTAATTTGTAAAGAAAAGTTACTTTCCATAGATGAGATTTCTTCTCAAGAAATGTCGCTGAGAGAAGCAACTACAGCTAATTCGAAAAGTGGAGGGCAAGGCTATACACGCTGTCAATGCAAAAAGAAGTGTTCCACAAATAAATGCAGTTGTAAAAGCAAGGGACTCTTGTGCAATTCAAAGTGCCATAACAGTTTCAGTTGTTGCAATAAATAAGATTTTATAACTTTAATCACATAATATATGTGTGAGTTTATTATTGCGTATTATTTTTCTTTTCTGATTAAGAATGTACTGTTCGTTTTAGGTTCAACAGTTTATTTACATGTGCTATTACTTAAGCTTTCTCCTATATTAACACATTAAAAAGTTGCATTTTTTCTTAATGTAATAAAAATTTTTGTATTCAACACTCACCATCAGCACATGTTAAATGTCAACATTTGCCGGTGTAAGTGAGAAATAATGATATTTAGTAAATATTTCATATATACACGAAATGACTGTGTGAATGCTGACATTCACCGAAGAATGTTGACATTTGCCAGATATCTGTCATTCACAGTAACATGTATACTTGTAAATTTAAGGATTGGGCCACAGTATACTTGTTGCCTAAAACTCCATGACTTCTTCCAATGTGGCCCAGAGAAACAAAAAAGTTGGACACCCCTGCACTAAATAGTATCTATTAGTCTAATATTTAATGACATAAACTGCTTTAAAGCATTAAACATCATTGAATTAGCTCTGTAAGCTGTTTCATTACTTTTGTTAATCAATCTGCAATAAGAAAATGTTAGCTTTAGGAATATGAAAAAAAAATTCCAAATTATGAATACATAAAATGTGCAAATATAGAGCTTCTACTGTAATAAAACGTAGATGCTTTTGATAGATGACAAATATTCATTACAAGATTGAAAAATTAAGAAAGTTTTTTGATCCAGTGTTCCATTATGTATATTTAATGCTGCAAATTCATAAAGATGGGTTTTCACAAATTAATAAAAAGAATAATTTAAAAATTCATCATGAATCAGTGCATTGAATTTTGCTTTCAAAAATGTCCAGGAATGTTAAAGAATAAACTACAAATATTACCGATTGATTCTTAAGTCATCTATTGTATGTTGAAGGAACATAATTTCTTCATCATCATTTCATAAAAGTTTCTGTAAATGTAATATTAGATTTATTCAATTTTAATGAAATAAAACAAAATTATTTCTGAAATGTGTTCAACATGAGTTACAGAAAGTCTATACTCAAATTTTTTCATTTATTAACAATTACACATACATACACATTTGTACAGAATGCTTGAAAAATTCACATGTGCTGTTTCTATATGCTCTCCTCTCTTCTCTGTACAAATTTTAATTTTTTCTATGTTCTTCTGGGTATTACTGTGTCAACAATTGAAAGTTATAGACACAACGTTTAAAAGTAGCTTTTAGACCATTGTAAAGCAGAAATAAGAATCATTTTCTTTCATAATGTCACAGAGTGAATTAAGATTTCTTTATCTGTGCTTTATGAAAGCTGTATTGTTTTAGATGTACAATACATCTAATCCATCATCCACTGAATTCATCATCAGAATATTCATCTAATTAGTTTAGAACTTTGTGATCACTGACTGATCACTAAAAATTAATACATTGTCAATTGGAAAATTAAAAATTTGAATCTTTGTTTACTTTCTAGTAACTGATATTAAATTCAGGAGTTAAACTAGTTTGATTTTATAATTATTTTCTTTTTTTGTCCTGTATTGTAATAAATCTTCTTAATAGCTATATATAATTTGCTATAAATTTTAAAAACTTATTACACTACAGTTTTAAATAATAAAATCCCAATGAGCTTTCCCAATTGAAAACTGTGGTGTGATAAATCCTTAAAATTTATAGAAAATTACTTATAGCTATTAAGAATATTTAGTTTAATTTTCTTTAGCATTTTGGAAAAGGCACTTTTTCCGTTGCCAGAAATTTTCCAAGGTTTTAAAATTAAAACAAAAAAACAAAAAAAAAAAACAAACATTATTATTAGAAAATAAAAATTAGTTTAACTTCTAAATTGAAGCAATAAGCAATCTTTTTTTAATATAAAACTGCAATGTTTGTTTACATTCTGTATTTAGATACATTAACTTAATTAAGAAAATATTTATAATGAAATGAAACACACATGAATTAATACTTAAACCAGTTCATAAAAAAACAAGTTATTCTCTTGGTTTAAATAATTAATTAAATTTTAATTAATTCCCTGCAGTAGCAAATATTGTATTTATGAAAATACAAACCTTTCTAAGTCAAATCAAAATGGCAACAGTATCTGTAAACTTCAAAAGAATTTTGTATTAACAAACAAAAGAATGCACTTGCAAAACAAAAATCACAAAAGATAGAGTAGTTATATAAAATTGCTAATAGGTAAAATATATTCTGAACTTTGAAACTCTCCTGTGTAATTCTAGCCTTTTATTTTTCTGACAAAAACAATTCTTTTATAGTATTCACGAGATTGTCGGGCAGGCACTTGTTAAGTTTTGTGTCAGTTTTTATTTTCGAAAGGTGAGAGTATAAAGAGTATAATAACAAAGATAAGAGAGTGAGCAGATGTCTGATGTTGCTGGGCAGTATGGCTTGAACAGGTCTACAGTAGGCCGCAGTTCAATCTTATCTAAGAAAGATACAATGTAATCAAGAAGACTCAGCAGCTAAAGAAGTAACAAAAATCACATCTAAGAAATAAAAAATGCAGAACAGCTCATAATGGAACCTGAAACTGATCTGACAACAGAAGAACACCAAGAAACTCAACAAAATATGTTTTCTTCTGAAAAAGAGGATAAATGTCAATATCTGCTATTAAAAATCTTTTGAAGAAGTGGGAGGATGTCAGAATAACAGTCTTAGAATGGTATCCAAACCAGGGTGAGGTTAATAGGCTTGGGGATCTCTACAATTACAATGCTATTAATTACTTCTGAAAAATCCTGAAGAAGAGAGAAAAACATTCAACATTAGACAGATTCTTTAACCACTACAAACGGAAAAAACATGACTAATAAAAATGCAAGATTGTATATATGTATTTTTATTATTACATATAAATAAATGTAGTAAGAAAGTATATATTTGTTTTATTTTTGGGGGTCTCCAGAATGAATTAATCAAATTTCTATAAAAACCTATGGTAAATCAATAATCCTTAACAAACAAAGTCTTGGAACAGATTATGTTCGTTAACTGATCATCCAATGTACAGGCATTCAGTGATTTGTTTTTTTCAAATTATTGGATTCAAATTTCTGTTTAATCCTCACATACTAACTAGTCAGTACACAATAAGGTTTCTTTAACAGGATCCCGGCTGTTTTTTAACTCAGAAATACTTCTCATCCTGGGAAATCCCACTGTCGCGTCAGGCCGATTCTTGTCTCGTGATGATTAATTAATTTTTGTAAGTCTCACCTGACCGTCTTGTTCGTACGCCAGGTTCCCGTCGTATCTCCAACCAAGAAAAGTTCACCAAGTCCATCTTTTACACTTTATTCACATAAAATCCAACAAATCGACTATATACCAATAATTCGATAGGAAGAGCATTCCACTATGTTCTTGCACCTTCCTTTGAAACTTAACACCACCGTCTTGTGTTGCCAACTCTCTTCAATCATATTATTAAACATTAAATATTAACAATAAAAAAACCATTAAAACCGCCCGCCATCTAGCGGGATGGACGGATCATCCTCCCACCTTTGATTTTGTCAGTCAAAATCAAATCAAACTTAAATCTAAATTTAAACCCGACAAAACACAAAGTATAAATTGAATGAGTTCGAATCAGTTTATAGATTTAACCGATTGGAAATCTTTAGTGGTCTGCCCCTTTTTGAGACTTGATGATTCTCAGATGAGTTTGTCACAACATCACTTCCTGCAACGGCAGAGGTCATTCAGGACTGATCACAGGTCCCCTCACGATTGTTTTCAGCGGAGTCTGCAGTCCTACCACGAAATTCGTTTCGCATAGCATGCTTTTCATCCCACGAAGAAATCTCCAAGGAATACAATCTCCTAACAGGACGGATGAGAAATCCAACCTGTGTTTTTATTTTTGGCTACTCTTACCAATCCATCTTTACCTGGATAGATCTCGACAACTTTCGCCAGAGGCCAATCAAGTCATTTTTGGATGTCATGCCCAACCAAGACGATATCTCCTACAGCATCATTTTAATGCCCTTGGCCATCTCCCTCAGGTTTTGCAATTGCGCCAGGTACTCAATTAGAAATCTATTTCGTAAATCTTTTCTCAACTTGCATAAATAACGGAATCTCTTCCCAAGATTGACCTTTTCCATATGGTCTAAATCGGGAAGTCCAGTTTCTTTTACTCCTTGCAGAAACATAGTCAAAGGAATTAAATCTTCAGTATCTTCCAAGAGAGTAGTAAGTGGTCGAGAGTTCATCAAACCCTCTACCTCACAGATAATTGTGTAGAGTTCTTCATAAGTTAACAAAGCTCGTCCCAAAATTCTCCTCATAATCTGCTTTACACATCCTGCCAACCTTTCCCACCAGCCACCCCACCATGGCGAAGCTGAAGGAATGAACTTCCAGGTAATGTCCTGAACAAGAATTTCATTTTTAATCTTTGTAAGTTCAGCCTCAGAGAAAATTTTGGCGGCAACAACAAAATTTGTACCATTATCACTATAAATAACAGAAGGGCGTCCTCTTCTTGCCACAAATTGTCTGAATGTATGCAGGAATGCCTTTGTTGACAGAGACGTCAACAACTCAAGATGCACAGCCCTGTACACTGCACAGGTATACAGGACAATCCAACACTTCTGCTTATCCCTCAAGTACAGTGGACCAGCTAGATCAACTCCAATAATCTCAAATGGTGCAGCATCTCTTATGCGATCCACAGGCAACGGCAGAGATTAAGGGTGGGCTGGAGACACAGCAAATCTTCGACACCTAGAGCATCGCAGTGTGATAAGCAGAATATATTTTCTGCACCTTAGTATCCAGTATTTCTCATGCAGATGATTCATTAAAATTTGAACACCAGCGTGGTTTAATTCTTTGTGTTTCCACTCTATTAATTTCTGTACAATATAGTGATTCCCAGGCAAGATAATGGGTAAATGGAAATCTTCACTATCTTTACTTCTGAATACAAGTGTCTTTACTCTCAAAAGGCCTTCCTTGTCCATCACCGAGTTTAATTTTCGCAAACGATTATTTATTCCCTTTGGAAATTCTTCTCTTTGAATCAGTTTCAATAACACTAATTCAGTGTGCCTTATTTTGTTTACTGTAAGCCCTCCAGACATTCTAACAGATTTTCCTTTGAGATTTGAGACAAACCGGTATATCCAAGCCGTTATTTGTAATATTTTCCAGTAAATGGAATAATTCTCATAAAACCTTTCTGCTTTCTCTACATCCAGCGCAGAAATCACAGATTTTTTCCTTTCAGAGCTCACTATCTCCATGTCCGGCATTTCTTGCTGCCGAGGCCATTCTTCTACCAGCAAGCTTGGAAATTGAAGTGTCTCCCACCAGTGCGAATCGGCCAAAATTCTTGCATTACAACCCCGCGATGGGAGGTCTGCGGGGTTTAAATGCCCTGGTACATGATTCCAGTCATCTGGACTACTTAAAGATCTAATTTCATTTACTCTATTCATAACAAACGTAGCCCAACATTCCTGATTCTTGATCCAATATAAAACATTCACGGAATCAGTCCAAAAAAGAGTTGAGATTCGTTCAAGTGGAAAGTCCCCTTTAATAGAGTTCATCATTCTGACACCTAATAAACAGGCTAAAAGTTCAAGCCTAGAAATTGATATGGACTTCAGAGGAACAACACAAGTACGAGCCTGGATCAACCGCCATTTTACGTTGCAAGCATCTTGCTGTCTGAGATAGATACAAGTGGCATACGAGTACTGTGACGCATCACAAAATACATAAAATGAAAATTGGACAGCTGCACTATAGTCATTTACTATCCTAGGAATTTTCACTTCTTTCAAAAATTTTAATTCTTTTATCCACCTTAACAATCTTCTTTCTAAGTCGTGCAGTAATGGAGTGTCCCAAGCTAACTTTCTTTTCCAACACTCTTGCATCAGAAGTGTTGGTATTAACGTCACTGGAGAAAGGAATCCAACTGGATCAAAAAGTTGACTCGCCAATGACAGAACCACTCTTTTTGTTAAAATTTCATCGTTAGGTACTCTAAAGTTTGCATTACAGTATAAAACGTCCTCTGAAATATCCCAATTCAATCCTAGCACACTGACTATTTCATAGGGCTGGATTTCTAAAGTTCCCAATGTCCTTTCATCGCCGTCGCAAACCAGTGACGTCTCTGTTTGTATACCATTGTATAACCAACCTCTTAAATCAAAGCATGCTAAACGCATGATTTCTCTAGACTGCCTTATAAAATCCATCAGCTCCTCCTTGGACTGACAACTCATAATGCAGTTATCAACATACATCAATTTCTTAAGTTTTAAAGCTGTTTCTTGCAGATGATGTGGAACATGGCTTAAGTGATAATTTAGAGTGGCTCCCAGGAGAAAAGGACTCGAGTTTACTCCAAATACTACCCTGCGATGTCTGAAAACTTTCAATTTCGCAGGGTCGCCACCCTCCCACCACAAAAATCTGAGAAAGTCGCGATCCGCTTCACTTATCTCTATCTGCAAAAAAGCCTTTCGAATGTCAGCTATTACTCCGTATTCAAATAATCGAAATTTATTCAGGATACTAGGTATTAGTTCAATGTAGTTAGGACCTTTTGCTAAACAATCATTTAAGGAGACGTTGCCCCTTTCTTTAGCGGAGGCGTCGAAGACTGGACGAATCTTCGTCGTGGAATGCTCTTTGATGACAGCTCTATGTGGAAGGTAATGACAGTTGGTCTCCTTCACTTTAACGTTTTTCACTTCTTCTATTATTTGATCTTCAAGCCATTGCTCGAAGACTCCCTCATAGGCATCAACCAGGCCCTTCTTTTGTAAAGTCTTCACTGCTGATCTTAATCTTCGCTCGGCTAGAACCTTATTATTTGGTAGAGCTTGGCAACCTTCTATCCAAGGCAAGGATACCATATACCGACCATCACTGTCTCTCTTCAGTGTCCTTTCAAAATGTTCGATAGATGCTTGTTCCAGTTCCTCCTTTGATTGTTTTTCGGCAGGGTCCTTTATTCCAAGAATATCTAATTCCCAAAGATCAGGAATTCGCAAATCTCCAATTAACATCGAAGTGACAATCAAGTCTTCAGTTAGTACAGAATGCTCCTTTGCATGTCCTAAGATCGTCCAACCCAGTTTCGTTTCAATAGCAGTTAATCCCAATTTGAGTCTCTGGATTCCTCCCGTCATCAGTTTGCCAGCAACATCTGCTCCTATGAGCAGTTCGATGGGACCTTGACAATCGCTCAAGGATATCCCCATATTTGATAACTCGTCCTGACCCAGTTCCTGGGAAACTGGGGGCATGGTTAAACAAATGGTCGATTGGTCCAAGACATCAAAATTACAACGATATTTATCGTCTATGCACGAGAGATGTACCTTGTACACATCATGTTCGCAAATATCCATACAAGAACCTCCAAACAACAAATGTTTCAGATTTTCCTTTCTCGTTGGTTGGTAATCGACTCTTTCCGCAGTGCTCTTCAAGATATAGGACCTCTGAGAGGCAGTATCAATAATTGCACGGATTTTGAGACACCTTTCCTCTCCCCTCAGAATCACAACCAAAGTCTGTAGCAAGACAAGTGGAGTTGATGACACATTAGCCAATGCCTGATCACATACTGTGGAGGTGCCGTCACCTTCACCAACAGAAGTGTTGTTGGGAGATACCTTTCAGCTATTCCTAAAGAGAAGAATGTGATGCGGTTTGCCACAAACTGTACAACTACACTTTGCCGTACATGAAGAAGATATGTGATTCAGTTTTAAGCATTTAAAACAAGCTCCTCGCTTTATAAGGATTTGTTTCCTTTGATCTAAAGTCAAATTTCCGGCCTTCCTGCACTCAGCACTAGCATGGGATTTCTCACAGAATACACACTGCTGATCCCTAAATGGTTTCTCTTTAGCAGAAGTCAAAAGTTCCATTCCAGTTGGTACAGTCTTATTATAGGAAGAGGTAGCCTTAATTTTACCTTTACAACCTTCTTGGTTTTGATCTGAAAGCCAAACCCACTTGTGGCTAAGGAAATTTTCTCCTCACTTTCAATTTCGTTACGCAAAAACTGCATCAGAGTTTCTAATTTGTTGAAATTCTCTCTTCCAGATTTGAGTAGCATCGAATTTAGGTGTCTTTCCCAAATTCTCAAAAGATCAGTCGGTAAGCTAGATTCAACTAAAGGGTAGAGCATTGAAGCACACTTATCCATAGTAACACCAAGCATTTTAAGGGATCGCAGTTGTGTCTCGATACGATCATAAAGTTTCACAATTGGCAATTTGTGCTCTTGCACCAACGCATTATTTAGCACTCAGGAGCTCTCTCACATAAACCTCGATGAGAATATCTTCTCTTCCGAAACGCGAATTAAAACACTCAATTGCTTGAGGGTAATGCTCGGCTGTTACAGGGAATGATTCGATTACTTCCCTGGCCTTTGAGCCCTTCAGAATCAACTGAATGAGGTATTAAAATTTATCCAAATCCGAAATATTGGGATCTTCACGTATTTTCTTAAATAGTCCCCAAAAGGAAAGATAATTTTTCAAATTACCGTCAAATTTTTGCAATTCAATCTTTGGTAGCTTAAAATTTCCCTTAGAACAGCCAGTTTCGCCTTCACTTCGTGTTTCATCTAGCTCCTTCGACGTATTCAAACTGCACTCTAGTCTTGTTTTCAAGTCTACAAATGTACCATTGTAATTCTCAATACCCTCAATTTCTTCATCCAACATCTGTTGAGAACACTTCTCATCTTTTTGTAACTTATCTAATATTTCTTTGTCGATGGTTTCTATTTTAGAATATTTTTCCTGTAACTGAGCCAAAAATCCAGCACACGAATCGAAATCTTCAACCTTCAACGTCAAAAACTCCTGCACCTTGTCGGCGAACTTTGTAAAAGCACCTCGGTAGGATCCACGTAATCTGACTGAGGGTTCCATGAAGTGAATCTTATTAATTAATCCAAATAGCAAGCGCAGACAATGATAGACATAGAGACAACCTCGATTCAAGTTCAAATAGAAATAATACAAGATGTATTTCCACCAAATCTTTCAATTAGCACTTATTTTCCACATTAAGTGAGTGTTTCCAAATGTAAACAATGCTGGAGAACAATTGGAGAATATTTATCTATACAATAGCTTCGGGTAACCTGAGTCCCTGTTCGGGCACCATTATGTCACGTCAGGCCGATTCTTGTCTCGTGTGATGATTAATTAATTTTTGTAAGTCTCACCTGACCGTCTTGTTCGTACGCCAGGTTCCTGTCGTATCTCCAACCAAGAAAAGTTCACCAAGTCCATCTTTTACACTTTATTCACATAAAATCCAACAAATCGACTATATACCAATAATTCGATAGGAAGAGCATTCCACTATGTTCTTGCACCTTCCTTTGAAACTTAACACCACCGTCTTGTGTTGCCAACTCTCTTCAATCATATTATTAAACATTAAATATTAACAATAAAAAAACCATTAAAACCGCCCGCCATCTAGCGGGATGGATGGGTCACCCACAAATTTCTTAAAAGTTCACTTTTTTTCTGATTTTGTGTTAAGGTTGAGGAAATTTTGCAAATAGAAAGTATAATTGTCAGAATACATTTGTGTTTATTAATTTTAAGCCTGCTTATTACTTTTTAAAATTTTTGCTTGTTTATGGTATGTCACAGATTGTCAATAATCAACATGTAGCCTATTTGTGGCAGGACTCTTTACTTATCCGAACTTGTAATATCTTGAATAATTGCACTAATGCTGTCTTAACTTTTAACCATGCCTCAATAGCTTCAATAACTGCATTATGCTTGGTTGTGTAAATTGGGCAAGAATACAAATGTATGAAGTTTTTCTTCATAAACCTGATTATTAAAGCCAAACACACTGCCATATTATTGAGCTCTAAGCTTAATGCTGCTATTAAAGCAGCCAAGGTAGACAAATCAAGAATACTAGACAGCATTTACATTTACTAAAGGATTAGAAAGCCACCACCAATAGGTATAGACTTGGAAAAGGAAAGATGAAGAGTTATAGTAGAAGTGAGAAGAGTGAAGAGAAGAGAAAGGTAGATAGGAAAAAGTGAAATAGGACATCTCATAGCACCTGCTGAGTGCCATTTATTAAACACAAAAAAGTACAACTAGCCAAAATACAGTGGTATACAGTATAACTGCCTCTGTTTTGAGGCAGTAGTAGCCCCATTATGACTGACTTGCCTTGGAGCTCAACAAACAAATATGTGCGAATGTACAACCTGATTGGGGTGTAGACAAATCCTCCATGCCATGGGAGGGAACAAAAGAGAACAACCGTTTGTACAAAAAAACAGCCTTAAACTGGGCAAAATGGCCCTTAATGGCTACCTTGCCAAACGGCTTGCACACAAACAAATGCATATGTACTGTACATCCCTTCCCTTATGAAGGTGGAGAGAACATCACTTGCGTTTTTGTACCCTCCAAGGTCATGACCTTGGAGGGTACAAAAATGTAAGTGACAAATTCTCCCATGAAGGGACCAGGACAATGACATTGTTCCTTCAGGTCCAGTGGTGTGTGACCAAAGGGTGGTTGAGACACCATCCATCTTAAAACAAAGAACAAAGAATGGTGCCACAATTTATGCCCGTGTACAAGTCTATCCTGCAACACCATGAGGCACAGACAATATTAGGGGCAGCCAGAGGCACACAGTCCCAGAGCAGACTTTCACAGATGCCAAGCCTGAGTTGATTGTTACCAGGAGGGTCAATTACCTAGCGGACTTCAAAATGTCTGTCGCCATGATGAAGGTTTTGAAAGCCTGGAGTATCCCATGATTGGTAAGGAAATCTTTCATCTGGCAAGGCCAGTGAAAGCCAATGTCAGCCAGGGTGCCTGCCAGAAGCCTTCTTTCTGCTTTATATTTTGGACACAAGTTTTTGCTTTGCATTCTGGGCTTCATCCATAGAGCAGAGGCATTTTGCATCCTCTTTATTAAGAAATCATTTCAGATATGCTCAAAAGTTTCCATAGCCCATTATGAATTGAGAGGTGGAAGCTGGGCTGGCAGAAGTTCTTAGTTTGTCTGTCCGTAACACTTGGTAGAAACTCGAAGATGTGTCAGCCCATATCCTCTGATTTCCACCGGTGTTGCCACAGTTGCATTATGGTGTTGTTTAACTTGGTCTTAATGAGGCTTACCGGAAGAGTGCTTAGTGAGATGGGCATGTCCAACCTTGCGCCCCTTTTCGCCAACAGGTCAACCCATTCATTTCCACTAACTCCTGAATGTCCCTTAACCCAGTGAGAGTAAATCGTCGCTCCTTTTCTTTGGAGTGTTTCGAGAAGGTTGATGGATTCTTGAACAATATACAGTCTTGTTCGTAACCATTTAAATTGAACAAGTGCTGTTTTGCTGTCACTGAATATATTGATTGTCTTATTGTATAGTCTTGGGTTGTCTTTTATGTAATGGAGATCCCTGAGAATGGCCAGGCTCAAATAACCAGATAGACAGCCTGGTTATTTGAGCAATGTTCTTTGAGTTTGTAATTAGCTTGGAAGATGGACCTGTCGTACTTGTTATACACAACCATAGCACATCCTACACCTTCGCTGACTTTGACCAGTCGGTGAAGATTTTGTATCCATTGTTGCTATCTTCCCAACTCTCCTTAATTTCAGGGCATGGCTTTGCTGAATGTATGATGTTGCTCCTCTGCGCTATGTCAAAGCCATATGTCCCTGATAAGGTCGCTCATTAATGAATGGTGGTTGGAAGTCTGAAAACCATCAGCTGATTGTCTGAGATGATGATGTTTCCAGTAAATTATTAACATGTGTAAGTCAAGAGGCAGTATGTTTGTAATTATCTGTAAAGCATTTGTAGGGCTTGTCCAGTAGGCCTTCACAATGGAGATAAGGCTCATTCATTGTATTGATAATAGTTTCCTCTTGACAGCAAAAGAAGTACTGCAATGAATCTCAAAAATAAACTAGAAATCTTCAAAGTTACAGGCGAAAAAAAAACACATCATCTGTCTTCTCTTAAATGCATTAATATAAGACAATTCCACACACATCAATTGAATTGGAAAGAACATTCTTGGTAACAAGACTTTTCATTACTAAAATAAGAACCAGATTGAGTGATCAGAGTATTGACCATCATTGCATTTTAAAATCTTATTATGAAAATTTACAATAATATTTTATTTAAAAAACGAAATTGTTTTGTTAAGCTACAGCATCACAACAGTTGGGCGATCTGACTAGGGGGAATGCCTTCCAAGAGGTCTTTTTAAACCCACAACTGAACTCCCAGTGTTCAGGTAATGGAACTGCTTGGCCACCAGTGAGCCCAGAAACAAAAATTATCTTCTAAGTTAGAAGTTTGATCTAAGTTAATTTTTTTCTTTAAATTTCCAACTTAATTCAAAGGCAATTTTTTTTGTTGTAAGCAGTTTCCAACACACTTTAATAAATTTTTTCTATTTATGAAAATTTTAATGTAATTCAAATGTAATTTTTAGTATATATTTTACACAGCATTATTGATATTATTATTTGGATTTGCAGGACATATCAACTTACTCAAATAATGAAAGATACTTGAAATCAAATGATTTTATTTTATATCTTAGAAATAATTAATTATATCCTGGGATTTCCTGGAATTCTGGGAAACAGATCACTTTTTTCTCTAAATCACAGGACAAGCAAATGACTGGGAAATGAGAAACCCTAGTACACAAGGATGATATATTAAAAAAAAAAAGTTATAAACGCAGATGAAGTCAAAATAGAATTTAATAGGCAAACAAAACAGTAAAATACTCTCAAATTTTGATCTTTATTTTAACTGTAAACAAAAGATTGTCTTTTCAATAATATGTAAAAAAAAACTTTCATTAACTGATCTTTTTTATCTTGCTTAGAAATATTTTATTGAAATCTGTTTTAATCCAAAAAAGTCAATATAATGAAGTTTTCAAGATAATTTAACCATTTAAATCTACAGTTGACACTCATTTGCATCTGCTAACTCTATGGAAAGTTAATATTCCATTAGAATGCTAGAGTCATGTAAAATTGAATTTGTCAATTGTATTTAAAAACGAACAATGTTACTTTAAATAAATGAATTTTATTGAAAAAAACAAACAAGAAATTTCATTAAACTAATCAAATTATTCAATTTTTAAGCTTTTTATATAGCAACAATTCAAATTAATCAAATACAAATAAACCTGTTACTATAGCAACTGCTTTTTAAGAACTTTGATTACTTCAAATTCTAATGCATGAAAACTTTAAGGAGAGTTACTTTGTTAATTTTTTTAAACAAAATCTTAATTAATTAAAAGTAACATCAGCCATTTATAAGCATAAACCAACAAAACAATTGTAAATAGATCTGCTGATTCTCTCTTGTAAAATATTTATTCCAATGATTTTGTTTTTAAAGAAATTTTCAAATCCATATATCTTTTATGTTAATGAAAATAAAAACTATTAATATAATTTTTATTCATTAGATTATGATGACATATATATATATATATCATAATCTAATAAATAAAATTATATTAATTTTATTTATATATATATATTACTTTCTCTTTTTAGTTTATTACAATTTTATTGATATTTTTTGGACTGTTGTATTGTTTCAGATAATTTAAACTAGGGGTTCCCAACTTGTGTTACTTCTGTGAAACTCTAGGGTTCCACCAATAAAAATTTGGGGTTCTATAATAAAATCTGTTGAGTCTAGTGATGTATGAATGTAATTGTCTAGGGATGTGAGGTGTAATTGTTGAAGTCTTGAATAGAGTCCATGTATGATGATACAAGGACTCCATCTAAGACTATACATATGCTAAAGTTATTTATAGTTTTATAAACAGTGGGAACTAATTTATCGGTAATGGAACGAACTGAAACCATGATATAATATTTAACAAGGTAATGGAGACCATAAAAACAATAAAACATAAACTAAAGCTAGAAAATCATTCAAAATAATCATAACTTTAATAAGGATCTAACATGTAAATAAAAATACAATTGTTAAATCTGTATATGTATTAAAAGTAAAATGTTCTTTCACCACTGCACACAAATAATGTAAATTTAAAAAAAAATTTAATTTACATATTGTTAATGTTATTATATTATCTTTCAGAGGAACCACTTGCTGTTTGGCAGCATGTGGTCAACTGTTCAAGGTAGGCATCGTGTCCCACAGCGTAGTCATTCATTAAGAGCGGCTAGTACACATTCACATGCCAAAGTATCACCTTCTAATTCCCTTGATATTTCCCCATTTCATGCTTCTTCTCCAAAGCGTTACACTATCAGTCATATCAGATTCATAAAAGGTAACCTTTGTAGTACTACTCCAGGTCCATCTCCACTCATTGGTCGAAAAGGAAGTAAATCAAGGTAAACAACAATGTTTATTAAATAGTATCTTTTCTTCAATAATTCATTCATAATAATGTGAATTTTTGGTTTATTTTTGTAGTTCATTATCTGTTGATGATGTTTATTTGTATCGTCGACAAACTCAAAATATCTCTGGTTCTCCTAGCCATCGTTCTCATTTTCATGGTGAAGTGTGTAGTAGTTATGATGCCAGTTCTTGTTGTGATGATGATGATGAACAAGGGAATTGTAATATTTGTAGTGAAACCATTCCACTCCAGCTATTACATCAAACAGCTGATACAAGTTACTCAAGTTCAACAAGTCCAATTAATCTTTCAAATGCTGAAAATTTAAATAATCATGGGAAATTGAAATTTGGTGGAAAATCAGAGACATATATTTGTACAAAGTAATTTAACATTTACTATTTTAAACTTTTTTTTAAAAATCCAATTAGAATTATATTAATATATTCTATTTTAAAATTTTTATTAGTTTATCTATTGATGATTCAGAAGATCAGGATAGACCGAAACCACCAACACCACCTCCCAGAAAGTTTATTAATAGGAGTGGTGTGGGTTCATTTCGTCTTCCCTGTCTCTCTAAACAGGATAGTCATGAACAGCCAATTTTAACTCAAGGAAACTCTACACCAAGCATGAATCATATTGCAGCATCTTTAAGACTAGCTCAATTACCAGCAATGGCTGTTGCTGGTATACCAACGGGCAGTCACAGTCTATCACAGAGGACTTTGAATGAATGTGGTAGTCATTTTGTACCTGAACATAGAGCTTCTTATCATGGTAAATATCAATTAAGCATTGCAATTTTTTTTGTATATGTATATATAAAAATATTNAAAAACATTGTTTTAATTTTCAATTGATTCAAATTCAATTTTAATTGATTAATTTTGATTTTATTTTTAATTTTAGTTTTATTTTCAGTTTCAGATTTATTGTAAAATGGCTACCTAGTATGCTTTAATTCATTGACATCTGCAGGGTTCCAACATTTTTTTTAAGGTGAAAAGGGTTCCATGATAAAAATAAGTTGGGAACCTGTGATTTAAACTATTCATTGTTTGTAAAGATTGTTTTGAAAGAATGACAGAAAATATTAATTTATCCAAGCAACATTTAATTGGTAACTATTATGAGTCATCATCAAAATGTTAATTTACAAAACAAATTGCAATTAACAAACCTTTCTAAGTATATTGATTATTTGTATATACATTTCTGTTTATTTTTAATCTCCAGGAATATAGTCATTTAATTGTTCTTTAATGGTTGTATTTCTAAAGAAGTTAACACAAAAATCATTTTGTATTGATGATAAAACATAAGAATCTAGAACTAATTTGTCAGCAAAAGTTGACACAGCTGACAATTCCCTATCCTTAGCTTAATGATATTTTTCTCCTTAACAAATATTAATAAATATGCTAACCTTTCAAATGTGTTTTTAATTTTCTTTTTGTATAATAAAAAGTAATCATAAACTGTAAATTTCACTCAGAAAATTGTTAATACAAGTATCTTCATTCACTTCAAATAAATGAGGTGCATCATATCCACTTTTACTTAATTTGCAGTATTCAATAAAGTCTTTTAAAGCTTTAAACTTAACAATGCTAATATTGGTCTATAAACTGACATTTAGAATGCTATAAGCCTTTTTTCAACAATAAAATACATTTTATTATGACAGTTCTTTACACTAGTAACCAGATAGTGCAGATGATCCAAAAATTTTAAGACACAGATATTGGAGTTGTGCCTGAAAGATTTCCATTAAAAAATTAAATCTCTCTCTCATTTATTAACATAACAAAAACTGAAAGCTTAAAAACATTTTCTTTGCACAATTTATTAATTTTATAGAGAGATTAGTAGCACAATTTTATATACAGTGGTACCTCAGGTTACGAATGCCCCAGCATACGAAATTTTCAGGATACGACATGAAATTCGAACATATTTTTGCTCCACGATACGAAGAAAAACTCACCATACGACATTACATTAGTTCGCATTTTTCATTTGTTTTTCTTACTACAGTTATTTTTTTTAATGTATTACTTGGCTTTAATTTGAGTATGTTTTTCGCGTTGGAACGAATTATTTGGTTTTACATGTAATCGTATGAAAAAAGATGATCCACCTTACGACATTTTCATGATACGATCTCAGTTTCGGAACGGATTAATTTCGTATCCTGAGGTACCACTGTACATATAAAAAGTATATTTGTATGAAATCAAATCCATCTAAAATTTTGAACTGTATGAAATCATTTTATTTTCAGTTAATTTTCTAAAGCTCTAAATCAAAGCTTTTAAGCACTTGATTTTTAAGTGTCTAAACAACTAAGGTGTGTTTCAAATTTATACGGACATGAAAAAATTAAAGTGAAACACAAATTTGCTGCATTAAGTGACAAATGTTTTATTAAAAATAATATGGATTTACATGTTTCTACACTGCAAAATAAGAATTTTATCAAACATTAATATTTTGTCACTAAAAATAATATTTTTGAAAATCTTATACAAAAAAACTGTTACATATTTATCTGGACAGGCACTCATTTTATGACTTAAACAGAATATTGTTTAGTTTCAAGCATTGAAATATGCAAATTAGCTTACATATCTAATTGTAATACAAATTCTTTACGTTGTTCAACGTTCTAAAATGGGTAGAACAAAGAATTTATCTGATTATGAAAAAGGGCAGATTGATGCCTATAAATCACAAGGCAAGTCAATAAGAGAAATTGCAGCATATATAAATCGTCCAAAATCAACTGTTGGTGATTATTTATCAAAAAGACGTGGCAAGGATGTACCAAAATTCAAGACAGGTCCAAAACCCAAGCTTACTCCTCGAGATTGTAGACAAATCATCAAGGTTTGCTCCACAAAACAAACATCAGTAAGAAAAATAAAACAAGAATTAGACTTGCCTTGTAGCAGCACAACAGTGTGGAGAGTTTTAAATAAATCTCCAATGTTAAAATTCAGAAAAAAAGCTGTAATGCCACCACTTTCATTAAAGCACAAAAGTGACAGAC